CGCTAAAGTAGCTTTTAACTTGGCGGGGCAGTGATTTATTGGTTTTTTAAACGATATACATACATACATACACACTATGACTGAAATATGCCGCAAATTCTTAGGGCCGTTTGCACCATGTCTGATTAAATTTAACCGTTAAACACATCGACTGCTCTATTGATGATAAGCGTACATATAACAGGTAACGTCGAAAACGATTGTAACTTTAACTAAACATGGTGCAAACGACTCGTACAGGTGTATTCTGCGCTGGTAATAAAAATTTTGTAACCGGTAAATTTTGTTACCATCTCATACGCTGGTAACAAAGTATTGCCCCGTGAAATATGCAATGCTAGAATTTCCACAATTCTTCATAGCTGAAATGCTGAATATTTTAACTGCATTACCAACGTACCTAGAATCGCGGTGAAAAGAATTGGTAAAATTTTTTGGTAATAAAATTTTCTGATTACAAAATCTTCGGTAACGTGCAGAATATACCTGGTAGTTAAACGAAATTAAAAAAAAATGGCTGTACAAGAGATCTTTTGAGTGCAAAATTAATTGCTCTAATGGAAGAAATAGTATAATTATTAAGAATGGTAGATGTTTAGGACCACTCCCAGCCAAAAAATTTTCTTTTAACGATAACATTATCTATTACACGTCATATTTTTATAATTGGGAAGACGACGTTTGTCTTTTAGGTTCTCATCTCTCTCTGATAACTGCAATGAAGTTAATGAATGCTCTAAAAACGGTTGGTATGCTTTGAGCTTTGCAATCAATGCTGAGTAACATACAAGAACCCATTGTTTTTTGCTAGAGGAATTTTTCTATTGATGCTTTAGTTGATACTGAACTTGAAGTTGATGCTGCAAAAGAAAATATTATGTACTTAGTAACAATGAATGTATACAGCTGATACCAAATACTTAAAAATATATTACCTTCTATGTCGTCTTTTGAATTGTTTATTGGCCCGTTTATAGGCGACGAAATAGATTTATTGACCTCTTCTACGTTTCTTTTAATCGCTAAGGATGACGTCGCCGGCACTTCAACAGAAGATCCTACTGCCAATGAATTAGTAGGGACAACATCATGTTGATTCTTTAATTGTCATTTTACCAACTCGACAGATAGAAACTTTTTTAGTCTCTCAAAGTATTGTGAATGCAGTTCTACGTCATTATGGCCAGCCCCCTATGTTAAATAAAAGCTTTTTAGTATTTTTGAAAGTTTTAATTAAAACAAGTAAAGAGTATTATAAGTATAAGTTTGGGCGAAACAGAACTTTGTATACCCGGCGCAGGTATTAAAAATCGTCGTTCAACTTTCTCTAAACTACCTTTGAATGATAAGTAGGGGTATTTTTTCCGATTTCAAACGTTTTCGATAAAATGCTGAGTTGGACTTAGTTGAACCAAGTTTGGTAGAAATCGACATAGTGGTTACCGAGATATAGCTTGTAGTCATAAACTGGGCGATGCCACGCCCAATTCCTAAAAGTCTATTTATTGTCTTATTTATTGTTAAGAGATTGTTGTAACTATTAACTCGGAGTAAATTAGCGTCGTCAGTTATTGAAATATCGGAGTTTTCGTGTGTCTGAAATTTACCGTTATACGTACGGTGACCAGATTTCGTGGCCAAAAATCGGGAATTTCTAAAGCACCGAATCCTAACATACAATTTTGTTTTTAGAATAAAAAGGCTGAATGTAAATCAAAATTTCAAAATTAGTAGAACATTTATAAAGATTCGACGAATTTGAATAAATGCTCATCACAATTTGAAACATTTTATTCAGATTTTCAAGAATTGTTTTGGGTATGCAGTTTTGAAGCCCATTAAATTTTAATGTAATAAAGTGCAAGTT